CTTGCCAAGTACACAGGTTTATTTTATGCATACAACATTTTATTTTCTTTCCTGTACATCCTACTGCTTTCATTTACTGTACATTTTTACTGCATTTTCTTTACTACTGCACCCCTACTGTTTCTTTTATGTATTATATCTTTTTAGAATAGGAGCACAGTAGTCTGGTTTTATAGGAGGTACCCAACAGTAGATCGTCGACCTAACAATTGCATGCACATTTAAAGATAACACTAAACCTGAAATTGCTACGACGTGGAGTTTGGAACTAACACCGTGGGCAACACCACGAGGATGCACAGAAGAATAACTTCGACAGATCTGCAACAACAAACTTTTCCTTAAAATTAAATAACAAGTCATAGGACTTCGAGGTGGTCCGCTTAGTGCGACATAAATTCTCACATTATTGTTTAGTCCTTTGCACAGCCAGGTTGTACAATTTAAGTCCTAACTCGCTTTAAGTTTTGAGGTTGTCGTCCAATACGACGTAAACCCTCATATTTTTCAGACTATTTGTATGAATGTGTCACGTAAATATAAACCCTAAATAATAAAATTGGCAAGATGAAATATCGAATATCTTCTCGAAATCGAAACCAAAGAATATGATAGCTTGGGAAGTCACTGAGGTTCTCCTCAGGAGCTGTGACATCCCCTTTTTTTCTTTCCTTCGACTCCAGAAATAAATATTCCCATTTGGTCCCTTTCCCCACTTGACTTTTCTATGTCCAATCTTGGAAACCCTAAACTTTGAATTTATGGAGATAAATACATTTGATCATTATCGAGAGTTCTCTTAAGTGACTTCAGTAATTTGAGAGGTAATTAACTATAGAGGCTTGCCTCTATAGGGAGCTTTAAGAACCCAAGTAATATAAACCCTATTTAATTCTTAATATTAGGTAGGAGAACTTGTCGGTCAACATAAATGTTCGCAGACTAAAACGGATGTCATAAATTCTTTAGTTCATTTCATCGAGCCTCTCGGATAAGTGATATGTCTATTTCTCTGGATAGGTATGTCACTTGTAGCGTTGTGCTCGTTTATTTAAACTATCGTCTATATGGGATCGGTTCAGTCTCGTATTTTCAAAATTAGTCTCGTATTTTCAAAATTAAAAATTACATTTCAAAACTATATATATGTTATATTAAATCAAATATCTCTTTCCCAATTTTAACGATCGATAAGATTCTCATTTAATGAGAGGACAACTAATTCTAATTCTCATAGGAGTTGGCAGAGGTTCCAATGGTTAGATTGGTGCATTGGCTTGCATAGTGCATTTTAGGACTCAATTAACCAATATGTAGGCTTCATTAATGGTTTTTTTGATTTGTTGAAATATGAATGTATTGTAAAATGAATATAGTGTATTTTGAATACTCAGAAGCTATTTGGTTGTCTATAAATTAAATGCAGTGATTTTTTTTTTCTTTTTTAGTTAAATTCTTGTAGAGTAAATGCAATGAATTTTAAATACTTATAAGTTGTTTGGTTGTCCGCAAATGGAATGCAGAGATATAATTTTTCCTATTTACTACTTATATATTGCATAATTTTTATAAGCTCCTATATTCAATATTTAAAAATTCATATTTATTTATATAATGTATTATAATAAAATTATACTAAAATTTATACATGATAAAATATATTTTATATTTATAAATTAATATTAGTGATTTTTATAATTTTAAATTTAAAGTATTTAATAATTAAATATATAAATTTGGCTTAAATTATATGTGAATTAATTATTCTTATATTATACTGATTTTAAAGAGTGGAAATCTCTGAACCTCTCATTAAATGCTCATACTTATATATTAAGGATATGTGGACCAAGGATAAATATAAGATTAAAGATAACGTGAATTGTGGATCTGCCCAAACTTACTAATCCATAGTATATGTATTAATTTTGGCATACCAAGTATAGATATATGAACAAGACTTCGAACCATCTATCTAAGCCTCTGAATTATGCTCTTTCCTTCTTTTCCCCCACTCTATATATCATGAATTGCATACAAGTTCTTATGCAAATCTCTTCTCTCAATCTCATGCTTAGGAATTTTAGGCATTCCAGGAAATAAATAAATAAACTGGTGACAAATAACGCTCATAGATATGGATGGTTTGGCTGCTTTAAAATATAACAAACATAGTGCAAAATCAGTATTCAGAAACAATCTAGTATGACTATCATAATAATCCTGTAAATATATTATTCAAGAAAAATGTATCCAAAGATAATGAGCTTGTGGTTAATATTTATAGCTAGTGTCATTACATTATTGGAAGAACAATAATATTTTTATTTTTTATTGATATCACCTTAATCAAACATATTAGTATTTGACTATTTCTAGCGCTATTATTTATCTAAGTATAAATGAAATAATAAGAACTTGAAACATTGCAGGATTTTATCAAAATTATTCTACAATGGAGAAACGCTATGTGATGATGAGCCTCCTAGAAGTCTTCAATGAAACCTACCACTTTTTAACTTCTTCCATTACAGTAAGTTAGCAAAGCTAAGCATTTATAACGACGAGTTCATGGAAATAAGACATCATGAGTGGGCTACATAACACTTGCACATTCACTGCCTAAAATTGTCTATCATAAAACATAAATTGAAAACATTTGAGAAGAAAGAAGACACAATCCATGGTCATAAGAGCAGTAAACTTTAAATAAGTTATGATAAGGAACATCTGACCTAAATAAATTACTTGATGAAAATGGACGATTATGTTATCGTCTAAAAATACATTATACAAAGTCTACATGCAATCTTAAGATGGAACCATCCACAAAAAAATTGAAGAAAAAACTCGGGTCAAGCGTATATGTTGTTATGCTCAAAATTCAACTCCTTAAATTTAGAAATAACTGAACAGACAACGATTTGAAACACAACTCAGAGATAAACAAAAATTAGGATCTTAAAGTAGGTAAGACAGACATGTGACCAAGAATATTCATGACAATTGAATCTTGGATTGATGGCCTGCCGACAAGAACAATGTTAAGGGCTATTTGGGCCAACAAAGGACACAGAGATGAATGGTTCATGCATAAATAAAAATTATATAGAGTTTAAATGTAGTTTAAGACCAATACCATAAAAATAATTTTGCATTTGAAATATACAGTTTCTAGGTTTTCCAATTGATAGATTTTCTAGTTAATCTTCATACTCTTTAACGCTCTTCTTCTTTTTCTTCTTCTTTCTATATTCCTTGCTTTTCTCTCTGTTTTATTCTCCTTCTCACCCAAAATTTTTTATAATGCTTACGTGCAATTTGGAGGACAAACATAAGGTTTACCAATCTGGAGTTAAAAATTTTGGATTAAACTTCACTTCTAATTTGGAATAGCACCTTTGATTTCGAAGAAAGAAGACGAGAATAAATCCTAACCCCTTTGCTTTGGATGATGTACATCTTGTTCACATTTGTCTAGTATATGCAAGATAGTCCGCCACAAGCTACACTAGTCCTCACACATGATTGCTTTCTTGCTCTCTGGTCATTTAGCTTCCTCTCATTTGCTCCCTACTTTTTGCATTCCCTTCTCTCTCTCTCTCTCTCTCTCCTGCTCCCATGACTCCTCACTTTTGTGTCTCTCTTAATCGTAGAACCGACACGTCGATTCTATTGAATCTACAATGCTGGTTTAATATTTTATTGGAATATTTACATACATACGACTCAATTTTTATGTATTTACATATCTAACATTTAAATTTCAATTTTTACTTATATTTCACCTTATCTAGGCATGAAAAGGTATATTTAATTTCTTAAAATATAAAATTGTGGTATTTTAATGTGATATGAAAGATTTGGATGGCATACAATTAAAAAAACAAATTCTATGTGTTAGATGTGTAAATTTATATGAATTGGGTGGTATGTATGTAAATGCCCCTATGCTTTTTCATGAAAAGTTCAGCTTTTACAGAATGTCATCATGTCATTGGCCTATCTGCATAACGTAAACCCCATTTGATTGGCTAAGACTGCACAATGCTGACAAGCCCTGCAGTCTTAGCCCGTCAAACCTCCCGACTTCCCAACATCACTATATGTCCCTCATTCGCACAGTTAAATATCCCTCCTTTAGGCTTCCCTTGGCGTTAGGTTTGCAAGTCCTCCGTCCTCTCTTTCCATTGTATTTTGTAAGCCCGCTTTCGACCAAATCCACACATACATTGCCATCGACATCTACATGCAACCAATCATTAATAATGTTTCCAAAATTTATTTGATGTTTATCTCTAAACTTTCTTGAATGAAACTGAAGAATGTGTGGTGCCTCTCAGTACCATGGAACTATCTCCTTATATAATACTTTTATATGTGGTGGATAATAAACTTATAGAGATTCAATCGACAATGATGTGTAACATACCAGTAAAAATTAAGTAGAGATTAACTGTTAATGTATTTGTGGGGTTTAGGCGGAAGGTGATAGGTAAAACAGCGGTAAAATAGAGTACAATGCTAAAATAGTTCTTTGATTGTTTACATGGGTCATTATAGTCTTAGAATGTATAAAAGGGTCAAATTAATCTCTAGATTCTTTAAATTAGGGTTGAAATAGTCATGGGGACTATTTCATCCCATATTAAAAGACTTCGAAGATAATTGTTACTTTTATAAACTTTGGGATTAAAATATCCTCATGTATATAGTTTGGGTTATTTCGGCACTTTACTCAGCAAAATACTTTCAAGACCATGCAAAACCATTTGGTAAAACAGGATTCTTTTGATATGCCATGTGAATTCCTTTCTTTCTCTATATTACTTTTTATCATTGAATCTATGAAGTTCTCAACATGATTAATACCAAACCACCTTGTATTATGGATTGTTTATGTTGATTTATGTTTGTTTTTTTCATTTTACATGATATTTGCTGATGGATGGTTTAATCCTCTTATTTATTTATTTTGTTTTCCTTGTGAGGGAATGTAGGTTGCATCTGGAAATATGCAATCAAAGTCGTCAAATAAACCAACACATATGTCATCAACAACTCCTTTGCGCACGGTGAATGGAAAATGCAGTTCGTCTGTGATGAACAAGAAAATAAAAAACAATAGTGAAAAGGCTTTCACCGGTACGCAATTCTCCATATGATCTCAGTGCTTTTTTATTAGGGGCATTTACATGCATAACACACAATTCTTATGAATTTATATATGTAACATCCAAACTTTAATTTTTACATACATATCACTTAAATCTTTTGCATGACGTCAAAAATACCTCTATCACCTACTTTTAAAAAGTTAAAAACACCTTTTCATTCATTATTTTATCATGCCAAAGTGTTAGAAATGTAAATATTAAATTTTAGGTGGTACAAATATAAATATATTAGAATTGTGTGGTATCTATGTAAATTTGTCTTGTTATTATTGTTTTAATTTCTAGAAAAGAAAGCAATGCAGACTCATAGGGGCTGTTTGATATCCCATTTTGGACAGGATTTAAGGAAGATTTAGCTTAAATCCGGCCAAACGGAATTTTGAAGACTTTTTTTTTGTTTTGATGAATTTTATTTTAGTTTTTTTATTGGTTAAATTCAAGATTTGTTATATTCTAAGTTTCATAGGATTTGATGATTTTAAAGATTCCTCCCGCACACAAATCTAAAATTTCAAAAAAGAGCCAAATAGTTTTAATCAGGATTCAAAAGTTCTAGCAATTGTCATGCCAAATAGTTTTATAGTTGGGAAATTTACGTATGTAGCACACATTTTTATGTATTTACATCTCACACCTAATTTTGGATATTTAGTTATTGCTTTAATCTCATGCATGAAAATGTGTATTTCACTTTTAGAAAGTGATGATGATGCTATTTATGATGTAATATTAAAGTTTTGAGTGCTGTGTGTAAATATGAAAATATAATTGTGAGATATGTATATGCATAAGAATTGTGTGCAACTTATATAAATCTCTGTTTTTAATTTAATCTTCTCATAATTTACTAAATCTAGATTTGCAACATCTACTAAATCCAGCTTGAGTTGAAATCTAGTTGTAGCAAAACAACCCCCTATAAGAGTAAAATTAGATTGAAATCCCTTCCTTGCATTGCATTTGTAAATTCTTATTTGGTTGCAGAAATTATGTCGAAGCGGCAAACCACTCCTGCTCTTAATAAGTCAAAAAAGGATCCAGCCATGGCCCCCAGGTTAATTCCATCAAAGGAATCTAGTCTCCGCACGCCTCAATCCGTCTGTAAGTCATTATCAGCTCTGTGCTCTTCGTCGACTCGCCCAGCCATTTGTTCATCCGATTCAAGTTTGTCTCGCCTCGCGATCTTGAGAAGTTCTTCGAGAAACCCCACCTGTTCTTCCTCGAGTTTTTCCAGTAGAACTCCATTAAAGAGTACAAGAAACAGAACTGGATCAGCAAATCAAATCTGCCATTCTAGTTTAGGGAAGTCTGCATTACTGCTCTCAAAGCTTTCTCCGTGTAGTTCTATAGACAGTTTTCTTTCAGAATCTTCTTCACAGGCATCTACTTCCACAAAGCACAGCAACTCTTTAAAAGCTTCTATCGGCGGGTCTTCGTCTTCTTCTTCGATAGCAGTTTGCGCCTCTCAGAAATCAGGTCAGTAGAATATTTTTAATTGGGAAATTTACATACATACCACACAAATCTCATGGATTTACATATCTAACACTTAAAATTTAATACTTCCTGTCATAAACCTATGCATGAAAATGTGCATTTGAGTTTTAAAAAGTCGGTAAAGTGATATTTTCAATGTGATGTTAAATGTTTGAGTGTTATGAATGTAAATATTAAAGACGTAAAAGCTTCGGTGCTAAATATATAAAGAGATGATGTGTCAAAATAGTCACGTGACACTTGCATGGGGTCATTTAAGTCCGAAAGTTTATAAGTTGTTCTCCAAACTCTTTTAATATGGGTTGAAATAGTCTTCACGGGGATTATTTAAATCATAATTTAAAGAGTTTGGGGACTAACTTGACACTTTTATAGACTTTGGGACTAAAATAGCCCTACATAAATTGTTAGGGGATTATTTTGACACTTCACTCTATATATAAATATATAAGAATCATTTGGTAGGTATGTAAATGCCATTATTAATAATTTCTAGTGTGATGTTCAATGACATGGTATAAATCCCATCTTTGACGCAGGCGGTTTGCGGCCTCACTCATTCACTGGAAATCATTCTAAAATCCCCTCGAAATTCGATTTGGATACGAAAGGAACGACAAAATTAGGACTACGAATGCCTGCCGAGGCCACAAATCGGTTACTTCGATAAGGTTACTCAATATCGCAACCTTTTACATTGTTTTAAACTTCTTTTTACATTTTATTTAGGGGCATTTACATACATACCACCCAATTCCTATGTATTCACATATCTAACACCTCAACTTTGCTTTTTAACATTTCATATCACATCCAAAGTACTTTTATTTAACCTAAAAAAAATGAATTACACCTTTTCATGCATATAGATAACATGTCAATGTTGAAGTTTAGGTGTTAGATATGTAAATTCATAGGAATTGAGTGGTATATATGTAAATTTTTTTTATTTTCATCTGATATAACGTATTTTCCCATCTAATTTAAAGGACAAAACTCTCCTCCATGGATCAAACAATCATCTGCAAAGGAGCAGTTTGGGTAAGACAAATGGGATTACTGACACCTCTGCACTGAACAAACCCAAACCTATCAATCCTCCATTAATGAGATCTGGAGCACCTCCATCCTTACCGAACCATAAATCAAAATCCACAGAGAAAACTTCCGAAGGAAACTGGAAGAAGTTGAAGAAAAAAATTGAACAAACTAATCTTCTTCAGGAACTCCATGAGAGCGAGTTGCAGAGACTTAATGGCCCAGCTTCCCTGATGAATGTCAAGCAGGCGAAGTTGCAGAGTGAGAAGGAGAACTTACGCCCTGATGTAAAAACTGAATGTCAGAGCAAAACTGTAACAATGCTGGAGGGAATGGTTTCTTCTCTTTCACTTTCTGAGGTAAATGATCTTAGTTTCAGAGATTAGCTTCAGATTTGATTTGATTTTCATTATTTTTCTTTAATTTTAGTACTGAATCAGGAACAAATCCAACAGAAAAATATTGTTGGAATTAACTGAAACGTTTGTGGAAGGGTTTTATGATGATATGATGGTGATTACTCTTGATTTTTGCATAGTTAATTTCATATATTTGGTATTTTGAATATGTTTATACAATTGTATAAAATCAGCTTTTATACAAATGTATAAAATTTTAGGGGCATTTACATATATACCATCCCATTCCTATGTGCTTACACATCTGAGACCTCAAGGTTATTTTTTTAATTTTTTATGTTTATACCAACCAAGTTTTTTCATTTCACATAAAGTATATCATCATTTTAATTTTTGGAAAGTGAAATGCACATGTAAGATGGCATGTATGTAATAATTAAAGTTTAGGGGGTTAGATATGTAAATGCATAAGAATTGAGTGATATCTATGCAAATCTTCCATGGGTAGTAGGGGTGTAAACATTTATATTTCGAGCTCAAAAAGTGTGTTTGTGTTC